ATCTCTCCCGGCGCTTCCTGCCTACCCGTGTGCCTGCTGCAGCCTCTCACGTTACAATGGAGCCAGGCCTCGATGGCTGTTGCTCAGAGAGCAGAGAGAGTCCCATCTGGACCACAGGAGAGACCGAAGAGAGGCGGGAGGTGGACAGGGAGGCAGACAGCAACAGACCAGATGTATTTTAGTCAAGGCCAGGGACTGATTGAAGAGCTTCTCTCTACCTTGATGCAGTAGTTTTCATTTTCACAAAAAGAAAAGACACATTCCGAACGGGTGAACACATGCTGAATCTGTGATTGTTTCAGAGAGCTTTTAATGAGCATAAAATGTGTCCAGTAGCACATCTGACCTTAATTATTTAACAACAAAATTGTGTTGAATGTTTACATAATTTTTTTGTCATGTTCTTTGTGACTGTGTAATCAAATAATAGGTCGATCAACAGAAAATCAATCAACTATTTTGATAATCGGTTTATTTGTGAGAAACATTCTCTGGTTACAGCTTCTCACATATGAGGATGTGCTACTTGTTTGTAATATGTGTATATGATAGTAAACTAAATATCTTTGGATTTTGGAGTATTGGATAAAACCAGGACTCTGAGGATGATACCTTGGCGTCTGGGAAATGATGGCTTTTTATACTATTCTATGACATTTTATAGACGTAAATTACCTGACTATTAAAAAAACTGATTAGCTGATTAGATCATGAAGATGATCTTACTCGTGGCACCACACTGCATTGCAAGACCTTTAACACCATTGAAGTAGATTTTGCTGGTGGTGTTTTGACTGCATGTTCACCCTGTGCAGATCGCAGTTCACCCCCCCCTTTTTCGCGTCTACTCCCAGTGACACCACATCGCTGCAGTTTGGGGGTGTATAACAGCAGACCACGCCCCAAAGCTGCTACAAGAGTCCCTGCGCCACTCTTTGATGTGAACACTCCTCCACGCGTCAGGCACGTGGCAACCCGGCGGAGAAGAGTAGCGCGCCAGACTTTTCCTACGTTGGGACGGTGGAGAGGAAGCCTTTGCGGAACTTGTTACTTGGATGGACGCGGACTGTGAAACAAGCTGAATTCAATGTAGGCTACTTTGTGTAAAAGAAGGCGGTTCGTACAGGCAGGGTTGGGGGAATAAAAGGTTTGAATCAAGGCAGTAAGTTTGACTTGAATGATAAACAACAAGGACTTAAAAGGCAGATTTTGCAACTCAGCTCTTCAATTCGACTTCATCTCACGATTAAAGTTTTTTTTTTTTTTCCTCAACGGTTAGTCGTAGTCTCTGACCTTTACTACGCGCATTATATTATTCGTTTGGTATCTTTACAGTTTACTACAAAGCATGTTTTAGGCGCACGGGGAATAAGTTTATTTTAATATCCTCCACTGGTTAAGTCAGGATTTAAGGACAGGTCAGACAAAAAGTTTGTTTCTCTGCATGCGTGTCATAAACATAATTTTGGCATGAAGGAAAAACTGGTAAATCATTTCGAATCAGCTAATATTTACAGGAAGAATGAAGTGCAGCTGCAGGGCGGAGGATCAACAAGTTGACCGGAGCGCAGACAGTCCGACGCCGGGGCTGCAGGGCGCACTCCAGCCGATTGGCAGCTCCGCTTTGTTGTCTAAACCTTATCTCCTGAACCCAAGCTAATAGGTTGGTGACCGCTGGGAAGGGAAGGGGGATATGGAGGGCTTGTGTTTGTTCGCTGCGACTGAGGAATGCCTTTGAGACTTAGAGGGGGCAAAGGAAACTTTAGGGAAACGTCAGAAATGACTTGCGGCTCTTCAAGTGCGCGTGGGCTGCTGCATGGGAACAGTTTGGCTGTTTGGTCAAAAACTTTTTTTTTAGGTTCAGGCCCCTGAAATTTTCAAGGCATATGGTGAATAAATCAATAAATTCACTTGGCCATGCATGAACTTTGACAGCTTTACGCAGGGTCGAGTTTAGCTGAGGTTGCTCATCATGAAACATCTGGAAACAGCTGTAGTTGAATCTACAATGTGTCTAGACTGAGTCAATAAATTGAGAAAATACGTACAGTCAGTTTCACAGTGCAAGATCAACATTCTTGGAGACAAACTTTCGCCATCGGCTATTTGACCTTTTTCTAAATTTTCAAACAAAAACTATCTTTTTCAAACTTATTTTCCTGAGATAGGCCCATTAATGAAATATCTCTCAATCCATATCTTCCACATTCCACTATAAAGACTTTCTCAAACCCAAATTGACTGACTGGGTTGAAGACAAGTGGATTTTAATGGTTTAATTTCAGAAAACAAAAAGAAGATGCAACTAATTTGGCACCTCAGTGATAGTAATAAAAGTAAGGCATTGGTCGCTTTCATTTTGAGGAAGGTATAAAGATAATTTAGCAATACTGCAATGAATAAAGACTGAGTTACAAGTAAAAGTCCTATAATTCATTAAATGAATGGATTATCATTACTGATGCATGAAGGTGTAAGTAGCATTTTATTGTTACAAATGTGATGTGAAGGCTATATTGTTGGGTATTTAAACAAGCTGATATATTTTATGAGGAATCTGTGAAGTAACTATAATGGGGTAAAAGTAGCCTAATACTTTCCTCCTGGTATTAAGCAGCCTATAATGAGTCTACTCAAGTGAATTACAAGCATCACACATGTAGGCTACAGTAGAGTAAATGTGGCCGGCCACCACCGAAGAAGAAACCATATTCCGTCCCAAGACTTCCCCGGTTCGGCCCCCGGGGTTGATCAGCTGAGAACCTGCACTTCTGATTGACAACCCCCGAAACCCCGTCTCCGTGGAAACCGCCTCGGTGGCGCCGCGAGGGCTGGCTCGAGGGCTGCTGTGAATGGGGGTGACGTCACGGCGCCGGCGCCAGAGAGTCTGCTCCAAAGACGGAGCGAGAGGGGAGAGAAGGAGGAAAAAGAGAAAAACGGGGAGGAAGAGAGAGGTAAGGGGTGAGGCGGCGGCCGCTGGAGGTTCGCTCGGCTTTTGCACCGACGTGCTCCTGCGCGACTTCATCACCCTTGCCCGTAGTCAGGCATCAGTCAAAGGCGCCGTGCGAAATGTACTCAGCTGTGGGAACGAAAGGAAGACGTGGAGAAAAATGGAAACATCCTATTGCACCAGATGTGCACGCGGACTGCAGGAGTTTCCAGATTATATTTGAAATTCATAAGAAACGGGATCGCCAGACAGCTGAAGGAGAAGCTGTCGTGTGAACAGAGCCCCGCGCGTAAAACACTCACACAGATGGTGTTTTTGCTGGATTTTCAAAAAATATTGCAAAACATGCGACGGAGGACGCAAAAATCATTTTATAGATTATTGCATAGGCCAACTGTTTTTTGACTTCACCTTCTCTGCTCACAATAATCCAGGGAGGAATAGCTCGCGTGAGCTTTTACCAACCTCTGCAGGCTGTGCACTCAAAACTGCGTCTCCTTTTGTCCATTAGGAATACTTTGGCTTTTAGGATTTCCTTGTTTGTGTCTTTCAGATGAATTGTTCTGCAAAAATAAATACATTAAAATAAACCCAAACCATCAAAATGACCATTTTTCTCTCTCTTAATTCTCTCTGTATCCCGAGTTTTAACAGCCCCCCTCTCTCTTTTGAAATAAATAGATTTTTCTTTTTGTTTATCAAGGAAATGCCATGCAAGATGCGAGCACATCACAGCAGTCCACAACTGCCCCCGGGGACAATTAGTTAGTGCGGCATCAAACAGCCCCCCCCCCCACCTCCAGCTGAAGAGTGAAGCGTGTAATTCATACAAACAAATGGCTCATTCAGAAAACGTTAAAGTGTCAATAGTAGTTAATCCCCTCTTCACGTGCTCAGATATGAAAGCCACATTTTGTAGGCCGTGACTAAATGAACTTTGACACACAACATACTCAGGTGACAATCAACACAGAAGTGCACGAGACCATAACTGATGCATTTAGATGTGCTCAGCCACTTAAAAACCATGGAGGTTTACTAGGCTGCGTAAAACTACACACCTCCAACTGAAATTTAGAGTACAGACAAAACCTTAAATTATTATTTTTTTAAATTGTTATAAGGCTGAACTGTGAACAACAATGCAATATAGTAATTTAGTTATTTTTGATCGGTATAGTGTGCGCACCATCAACATTTTGACAGATCACACTTAAGTCACCTCACTGTTGTAAATCTAAAGCACTGCTGAAATAGTCAATATTATGGTGCGTCAAATTACTAAATCCTTAATATTTGTTTGAGTTTTTCCGCACACGCTATATTCTTTAGAAGCTTTATTTTCCCCAAAATATTTGTCTTATCGCTGGTCTGACTAGTTTCCTGGTGGAAGCTGTTTCAGTTTGCCACTCAAACATTTCACCCTCAGTTTGTTATTCAGTCTCAGGAGCTTGCCTTCACACCAGGTCCGGGCTGAAGTGAATTAAGAATCATCACACGCGCCTGGTACCTGTCATCACTGGTCCACACCAACCCTGCACATGGCAACTAAATATAGAAGAACGAGTGTCTGTAAAACAAGTCATCAGACATAAACTCGTGCTCTGTCGTTCATGTATCAAAGCAATTTTTATTCTGAATCGGAATATCATTTTCCAAATATTCCTGCTTGATTTTCATCATAAAACTGCAAGATTTATATCATGCAGGCACAGGTATTGGCGCGTGCTCGCACCTTGTCCATAGTCAATTGACAACCATGCGAATCATTAATTTTCTTGATCAGAAACAGGTAAGGGCTTAATTTTCCAAATTGCCCACCGGAGCTGCTGAAGCGCCCTCTGGGTTCCGCCTCCAAAATGCGTTGCCAATGGTAACCCGGCGGTGAAGGGGAGGGACTTAAGAGCGAAGAGCCAATAGTAGAGCTAAACGGTGTTGAGTGACACAACCTCCTCGACCAATCAGAGCGTTTGACCCGCCTGCATCGCATGCCCTGCCTGCTGCCTATATAAACCACATTGACAGCTTGGCTCGCCAGTCTGATCGCCGATCGTCTGGCAAAAAACAGGACCTTTAAAGAAGCAAGCTATCGACACACGCGACCCTCTCTCGCCTAACTTAATACTGACAAAATGAAAGCAATAAGCCCCGTGCGGTCCTTCCGGAAAAACAACGCGAATATATCAGAGCACTCCTTGGGAATCTCTCGGAGCAAGACCCCGGTGGATGACCCGCTCAGCCTGCTGTACAACATGAACGACTGCTACTCCAAGCTGAAGGAGCTGGTGCCCAGCATCCCCCAGAACAAGAACGTCAGCAAGATGGAAATCCTGCAGCATGTCATCGACTACATCCTGGACCTGCAGATTGCGCTGGACTCCAGTGTCGCACTAACCAGCCTGCATCACCCTGCGCGGCCGGGGCAGGCTCCATCCAGGACCCCTCTGACCACCCTCAACACAGATATCAGCATCCTGTCATTACAGGTAAATTACACCGTAACTAATCAAGGAATCCTAATTGGCGAAGGATAGGCTCGCGTGTTGTGGAAGATATATAGCCTAGTGGATTTTTATTTGTGCGCATAACCAGTGCGCCTTTGTAGCCTATGCGTAACTCGCACAAAATGGCTTGTTGAAAAAGAAAATGGCATGTTTTTTTTTTTTTTTTCCTCCTTTTGTACAGAATGAGATGAGGAAGAGATTTCGACCTACATAGTAGTGTGCACCGCCAGACACTTTCGATCGGATGCCGCGTAAAGAATTAACATTTGGTCTGTTTGTTTGTTTGTTTTCAGTCCCCGGAGTTGCCATCAGAGCTGATGACAGATGACAGCCGGACTCTGCATCGTTAAAGCGGTAAGTAGGCTGTCCTCGTGTCTGCTGCTGCATTCTGTCCAGGGCTCTTAAGGCTCCGCTACAGCCTGTCTCCCAGTCTGCTGGAGCAGAATGGGCTAGAATTACCATTTATCCATTTGTTCCCAGCTAATGTGGTTGACGTCTCACGTTGCTGTAATGGTCCCAATATGTTTTGCATGAGAATGCGCTGCATCACCGGGGCGTCAGTTATGACAAGGGGCGGACAGTTTGCTTGACTTAAATCCAAATTTTAACATTTTTCTATTTATGTGTGTATATATATTCTTTAAATATATTGTATCTCGTATCTTACACAAAAAGATCAAACCATGGGGCTCCCATTTTAGGACTGTAAACTCTCAGTAAGGTGAGCCCGATTAATGGAATAATTCTGTGACTCATCTGCTGTGTCTTAAGACATTTTGCATTGGAGTTTGTTGGAATGAAATGGAAGACATTCGCTCCAGGCTGCTTGTGTTACTGTATATAAGTAGCAGTCGTCGGGGTTGTATTATACCCTCTTGTGTCTATAATGAAGAGCATCTGCAACAGGAAAATAATGGCTGTTTGGATTACTGCTACTACGATGTCTGCACATAATTGGTACAAGAAGTGGGTAGGCGCCAGCTGAGCGGCAATTACGCTGATTCTTCCCCAGATTGTAGGCTGAAGTTGTGCGAAAAGTGTGTGTGTGTGTGTGTGTGTGTGTGCCTCCCCCCTTCTCGCTCCCTCTCTCTGTGTACATCTGGAGCGCAGGGTTTGCTTAGTATTGGGAGTGTTTGGTTAAATGTTAAAAACTGCGGCTTCCTCCCTGGCGCCAGTCTGTCCGGATCTCTGCCCTGTTTGCATTTTCTAAACACGCCTCTCTTTCTCAATCTTTTGCAGGTGTTTGGTCAAGACACAAAAACACACAGGACCTGGGGAGCAGGACTTTCCGCCGCCCCCCACCACACCCCCCTCCAACCTCTGTCCTCCAGGCCTGGACTTTTTTTCTTTTTCTGCTGACGCTGAAATCAAGAGACTTTTGCTTATTATGGGACAATCTAATGTGATGTGTTTTCTGTATGGACACTTCATTATTATTTAACTTAAGACTTTTTTTTTTTTTTTTTTTTTTTTTTTTAAAATTTGTGGTTCCTTTCTGGAAATGGAAGGCGCGCTATGTTCCCGAGAGTGGGAGGAAAAACGAGATTATTGTCACAAGGATTATTCCCCTGCTCAGCCCTGTCCTCCTTGTTGAAGTCTTCGCTTTTTTTGCGGAGGTGCGAACTTGAATAGAAAAGACAACTTGGTTAGTTACTGTAAAAAGTTTTGTCTTGTCTTGTCAGAATTGTTGGCACATGAAGGACTGGACGTTGTTCAAAAAAGTAAAAATGAAAGAATGAAACCTTGTGGACTCCTCTCCGGAGTTTATCTTGTATAGTTGCAGGAATTTGAAACTTCTGCAAAAGTGTAATGTTGTACTTAATTATGCTGAAACTTTTTATAAAAGTAATGTAAATTGTACCTTTTTTATACAAAATAAATCAAAAACGCAACTTGAACATCTTTCATTTGGGGGGGGGGAAGAGAGAGTGGGAATTCAATGTTGGTATCGGTGGTTCAGAAGACATCAAACCAGTGCGTAAAATCTGTTTCCCAGCTGACTTTCTACAGAACTATAAGGACATGGCCGCGCTGTATGTACAGTTAACATCTGACGCACTTCAAAAACCGATCCCACAACAAAGTGTCCTTCTCAGACCTGCAGTATGTGACCTATAATAGTCTAAAACACAGCGTCAACACTTCCCCGAGGCAAACGCAACCTGGAGACACACAGTTGCATAAAAAGCTTATTTAAGGCGCACTGACTGCACTTTTACTTTCTCACATGCTAAAGTAAATGGGATTAAATGATTCAGCGTGACAGGCTGAGCCATTAAAGCACCGGGCTTTAGGCTGTCTTAAAACAAAACTGGAAAATTATGGAAATTTAACTTGGGGTGAAACTGGGCCGTTGATGCGTTACGGATTCCAAAAGTAATGCTTAACCAATCAGAGAGGGAGTTTAAACATTGATTTGGATTGGCCTGTGTTGCATTCCGTTATTTAAATTTGCCTAATATACCTCTCGGATTAAAAATAGCGCTAGTGTCCAACGTTTGACTTTATTATCCAGACGAAACCAACGTGATGGCGAACGTTGCTGCTGGTTTCGGTGCCAAATGACCAGGTAGTCTACTATGAACACAGTCAACCACGCGATGGTGGGATGTACTGCTTTGATAAATCGGCTTCTGACAAATATTCAATGGGGTGACCAATTAAAAGCTCTTCAATGCCCCGAGGTGGTACTGGGCAGTGCGCACTGTAGACTGACTGTGGCAAGAAAGGCTAAATACAGCCCTGTAGTGAAAGCCCGACTGTCAATCATCTCCTTCCTGAAATCCAGCAGGGCTTCTCACATGTTTTCAAACCACAGAGCCGCCAAGCTATTTGATGATTGTACCCCAGGGTGGACTTTATGGGATCTGTCTTGATTACGTGTAAGCTTTAGGAAAACAACTCTTTACATGATAAAACGCTTTGAATCCAATTATCATTCAATATATAAACTTAAGTTTACCTAAAAAAAACCCTCAGGGGACTCATGCAGGTCCACGTTGAGTCACTGAGCTGTGTTAGTTACTACCCCTCGGTAGTTTTGAAGACTGACGGGCAGCGTGTCCGTGACACCAGCCTGCAGCACGTTTGTATGGACAGTGCGCCATCTATCGGCGAATAGAAGCGCAGCCAGTGACGCCCTCCTGCATGTCACTGTTCTTCTGAACTGCAGTAGTTAAAATATTAAATTGGTGTAGAGAAGACTTAGTTTAAATATTCTGGTATATTCACAAACCTAATCCAAGTCCACTGAGGCTTCTCTCGACAAACAGCAGATTTTCCTGCATAAAGAACGGAGAAGAGAAAACATGACTCATTTCAAGGGTCCACATAGGAAAACGTTTATTGAAGTGAACGCCTTTTCACAAGCAAGTATGGAAAGGACATCGCCACTTTGGAGGCTAGTGCATGCACTTCTTCTATTACAGACACTGCACCACTGTCTACACGGCCATCTATTCGAGATATTCTAACCACCAAACACAGCACCGCACGAAACACGTCGGAGACAAAAGTCCCCCCATAACACAGAGCTTTTTTTAAGTCGTGATTACATTTCCTGAAAAACACCTTTTTTTGTAACGTATAACGTCCACAACATGTAACATTTCATCACTAGACTACTAGACTAGATTATTTCCACAACAGCACCATATTCACGCAAGAAATCACACCTAAAACATCCAAACGCATGGGACAGTTAAAGCAATCCCAATTTGACCTGACAGAAGTATTTTTGGTATCATTAACTTTGTAGTCAATTGTAGTTAATAATGTGTCTTTAGATTTGTAATTTTTAAAATAAAGGTGATTAAAGTAAAGCTTCAGATTGCACTAGATTACACATTTCCTTTCTAACAGTAGAACACATATCTACTCTAATTCTTTGGAACACGTCACAACACTAACAGTGTAACAACATCAAGAACAACAGTCTATGTGGCCCTTCTCAGAATAACGAGCAGCTCCTCAGAGGACGCTCTCCGTCTCGTCTCCCAGGCTGATGGTGCGCAGGTTCTGGTTGTGGATGGCTGCGGTTGTGGTGTTGGCAGTACTTCTGCTGCTGCCGGGGGTGATGATGACAGCTGGCGAGAGGTTGAGGCTGGAGGAGGAGGAGGAGGTGGTAGAATCCGTGCCTGTGATGTTAACCGGCTGCTTATGGCTGTTGTTGGTGTTGTTGGTGTCGTCAGGGCTGTTTGCGTTGTTATTAAGAATGCTGATGCTGGTGGTGCAGTTGAGGTTGCTGACCCCGCTAGACGGCCACCCCTCATCTGGGCTGCTGGCCATCAGGCTGGCCTCGGACGGCGCCTCGGAGCAGATGGACATGCGGGCCACCGCCGCGTCCTGCAGGCCGCTCAGGCTGCTGGGGAGGAGGCCCCTCTTCTTCACCAGACCCTCCAGCTCCAGTTCAATCAGGCTGGGCTTCAGTGCTCCTCTCTCTCCGTCAGCATCTTCTTCAGCCTCCTCTAGAGAGCGGTCTGAGGAGCTGTCACTGGAGCGCATCCCTGAGTCAGACGAGTCCTTCTTATCCAGGAGGATTTCGGTGAGGAAGCCAGGCTTTGTCAGGAGCCCAATGGGCTGGGAGCCGCTGTGGAAGGACAGAGCACCAGCTCTACCCTCTTTGTGGAGGAGAGGTGTGGTGTTGTCGGCCTCTTCTGGGCCGGAGTCTTCATCGCTGGGCAGCTTGTGGTACAATGACCCGCCTACCTTCTTCCTGGAGCCCGGAATCCTGGACAATGTACTGCGGTCCAGCTTCTCATCCTCTTCACTGATGGGGTCTAGAGGCTGGGCATCGGTCCCTGAGGGGAAGTCTGTGGCATCACTAGTCTTGGAGCCTCTCTTGGTGAAGGATTTGCGGCTGTCTTGGTCAGCTCCTTCCTTGGCCTGAGGAGAGGGAAGAGGATTCAATGGCAAGAACATGAATATGTATAAGATCTTGTGCTATTGGCCAAGAGGCCTCTGAAGAGGGGATTCTGGTTTCTCCCTTATGTGCCAAGAGAAACAAAGACCACGAGCAAAAAATTAAGAAATGCAAGAAGCAGAGATCTCTCCTCTTCCCAGCTCAGAATAAGACATTTGCTGTTGCGCAGGCCAGAGGAATACAACATTTAAACACAACATACAGGCTCAGAAACTATGTCGACACTAGTTACTGACAATAGTCACCACACTGTAATCAGACCGTGGGAGCTTTTACTCAATTTATGCCGTCGGTGATGCAGTGGCAAGAACTCAACAGTGTACTTGTGACTGTCCACCCACCCCTTTGTCCTCTGAGCTGGCAGCCTGGAGGAATTGTCCAGGGTGGGGCTGCACGGGCCTCTCTCCCCCAACGCCGGACATCTCCACCTGCGCCATCTGAGCGATGTACTCCCTGTAGGCATCGTGGTACTCAGACTGCTGCTTGTCCGTCAGCTTGCAGATGTCATTTGAGGATTCCTGAGAGTTGAGGCTGGACATGCTCGAGGTGCAGAGATTTGCCACCTGACAAGACGAGAAAAAAAGTTGGGACTGGTGCGCAAACATCCACGTGAGTTTGTTGAGGAATACATATTCACGTTAAAAGTAACTGAAGAGTGAGACTGCTGTATGGTTGTGGGCTCATAACCTGAATCTACACCTGAATATCATAAATAGAGAAATGCGGCACGTAAAAGATTCTATAATTACATTAGTAACCAATGAAATATTCAGAACATGAGAATGAGATACAGTGAAAACGTTATTGGCAAAGGTCGCACACGGAGTGGCAATGAAAGCTGTTGAGTGTTTTCAGATTTTGGGTGACGTGAATTTGAAAAAGATCACAAAGTGAGATCATAAAATCGCAGCAGAGGCAGCTGTCTATGTGCGAGTGAGAATAGGGAAGGTGAAAAATAAAAAAAACAGGGGGCCCCTTAACACCTTTTGGTGCGCTGCAGTGTGTGTGTGTATTTTGAATTCAGCCAAAATACAATTTGTTCAAAAGCCGAGCTCTTTTCTCACTCACAACCACATTAATGTGAAACCAGTGAGGCCACCAACACACTTGATGCCGCGGACTTGTGGCCATGTGACAGTTTGGAGTGTGTGGCCGTGCGACCCCGTTTGTGTTGCACGCTCACACGTATGCTTACCCCAGCAATGTTAAGGCCCTTTATGTCTTTGCATGTTTGTAAGGGCTGGTATATTGTGTGTGCACACACACGCAGACGCACGGTTCACGTCCGTCTGATCCGATCTGCTGTTGGGTTACATTTACACTTAGCTTCTGACAGGAGGACTGACCGGCCAGTGCGAGTTGTTGCTGTGTCTCGGAGGTTCCTCCAGCCCTGCTCCGCTGAGCTCCTCAAAGCTCAGATTCAGGCTGAAGGCTGCCGCTTCATGCTGGGCCCCCCCCGAGCGTCTGCTGGGCTCCCTGTGGTGCGAGCTGCTGTCCTGCTCGCTAGCAGCTCGGGACTCGTCTTGAAGCGGAGCCTGGGTTTCAGTGTGACGTAGTTCCATCACCTGGGAAAGAGATTGCAATGTACCGTTTCAGATCGACGCGTCGTTTGACTTTTGTTACAGGACACGCAAGTCAACATGTGACATACTAAACATGATATTCAGATGTCCCCCTCCTCTCCCGACAAAAACCTCCCTTCATCCAGATATCAGTCAGCCATCTTGAACCAGATGTCTGTGCTGGCTGCGACCTGGCAACACAACACTGGATAGTGTACGGAGCTGTAAGGCCACAGCACTTTCCAGCTGCTCCTACGCGAGCTCCGCATTGGATCTCCGGTAAAACACGACCAATCCAGGGCTCTGGTTTGGTATTAGGAGCACAGACGGACATCTGATGAAGTCAACCCGGCTACATGTGTAAGTGATTTCAGCCCCCGGCTCAGCCGACTGGACTCCTGGCTGACTGAATAGCGCCCTTCTCGTAATGCGGATTATGAAATCTCCATCCCAATATCTTAGCGCAGCACAAGATGTCGTATTAGGAGATGTTGTCTTGCTTCTTTTTGGACTAAACAAGAGCCGACATGCATCAACAGGAGCGGCCCTGGCAGGGCTGCGCGTCTGCAAAGTATCAGAGTGAGGAGAATGTATGCAATTGTAAATCTATTTCAGGCCTTTACTCTAGAGGAATGAAAGCGGAGTTAAGTTATTGTTGATGATGGACTGATGCTTTCTATATCACTTATGTCTTACTGATACACTTGATATGAAACAACAAAGACCCAATATATATGTATTAAATAGATGCCAATAGCAAGAATATTAAACCAGGCTCTGAGGTAAGTAAAGACACCATACAAGAGGAATGTAGTCTCACCGTTCCCCTGAAGAGCTGCCAGTCGCCGAAGTTCATCTCCATCTCTTTCTTCAGCTCATCCAGGTTGCACTGAAACAGCACTCTGCCATTTATATTAGCCTGCAATGGACAGGGAAGAGACAGACTGGTTTGTCCACAGAAGTTTAACCATAAGGAGGCATCGCAGAAGGAACTGCACGTCGCCAAAAAAAAAAAGCTACACAACCAGAAAACACGCAGTAATTATCTGAGAAATTATCAGAACACAGATCCGATTTTGTATGTTATTGACAGGCGCACCTTCTTGATGATGGATGTGTACTGAGGCAGCATGCTGGGGTCGATTCCATCTAGCTGTCTGAGGCGCTCACACACTGCATCTGTGTTCAGAGAGCTAAGCAGGGCCTCAGGAGAGACCTACACACACACACACACACACACACACACACACACACACACACACACAAAATCAGAATATAAACAACTTATTCAGAGTGTTTTTGTGAGTTAAGGTTACCAGGGCAAACTCAAACACTCTGTTAGACCAACTCATCACTCCGAACACATTGATAAGGGCAAAACGAGCAACAATTCCTGGCAAACAGACGTGCAGGCCCGTTACTGTGAGGCACACAGAGGTGCAAATCCGCAATCCCACACAGTAATTCTCTCTATCAGTCACACAGTGTAAGTGTAAAAGTAAACAAAGCTGCCAACCTATCCAAATACACGGTTACCTGCTCTTGTTCTTTTTCTCGGAGTATATAGAAGCACATAAAGAGTGTGCACAACACTTAAGGGATGGAGTCTGTAAGTCTGTGGGTTGCTGCCGAGCCGAGCCGCGCTGAAGTCGGCTGCCGCCAAGCAGCTCCGGGGCTTTATGTGACTAATACCGGTGGCCTGTTGATGTTGTCGAAGGCCTCACAGAGAGCCAACATGCCACCCGCTGGCACGAAAACTAAACAAACCTCATTCACCCCCCCGCCCTCCCCTCCCTTTCTTCGCTCACCCCTCTCCCTCTGGTTCTGCTTGTCTTGAACCCTCACTCTTGTTCCTTCCTTCCCTCCCTTCCTTCCTTCCTCTCACATTCCTTCCCTCTCAGCCTCCTTCTCTCTTTCCCATCACTCTGTCCCCCCCCCCATCTCTTCCCTCTCACTCTCTCGGCTATTAACACCATTAGGACATGGCTTCAGACTAAGCCCCCTGGCTTTGTTTCTGGTTACGAGGGAGAGGAGCAGAGCTTAGTCGGACTGCGAGTAGTTGTTGGACAAAAAAAACAAACAAGCAGCTCACCCCATACAGTACACAATAGTAGGTGCCAACTTTCTGTATTGGTGGGCAAGAGGATGAGTTTCGCTACTGTTCATGTCCACACAGTAGAGGATTTACTCTAGAATGACACTACGTTAGTGAATCTACTGAACTACCACAGGACGTGAAGTTGTGTTTTGCATTTACTAAGGGATGAGTCTATAGTATCTCTTTCTACAGCATGCTTGGTAGTGCCGAACCAGTGTTAGAAATGAGGTGGAGATACACGGATGAGAAAAGGGTTGGATGAGGAGATGAAAAGTAGCCATGAAACCGGAAGTGTACCTGCTTTAATTTGTAAGGCAGCGACTTTAAATGCTTGATAAGGAGACACAAAGAAGTAGACGGACAAATAGTCAGACAGAAATATGCACAGACATTTATAGCATTATGAAGCCGGGACTGTACCTGTGAAAAAGGGAGAGCGGAGGGGTGCAGAGGCAGACATTTAGAATAGACAGACGAGCACATATGTTGAACTCATCATCAGGGGGCAGGAGAGACAGAAACAACAGAGCAGAGATCTATCTGTTTCGCAGCGGGAGAGGAGACGGCTCCTTTACAGTAGCAGCATGTCAGACTGGAAAAGATGAGGCTATTGGAAGTAGAATTATTACACAAGCAGATTTTGTTTTTCGCCGGAGTCAGCAGGCTTTGCAGTCATAATCTTTGCAGACAGAAAGGACTGCGGACGAGACAGAGAGAAAAAGACTCCAGAAAGAAAATGAGAAATCTCTCACTCTGCGCAGAAAAAAGCAGAAGTTTCAATTCAGGGAAGGCCTCGAATAAAGACTCCTCGATTCAGACTGCAAGCGCGTGTTCTAAGAACGTGAGCGAAAGCGTATATATGTCTGCGGGTGTGTCTGCGTGTCTTGGTGTGAACCCTCCCAGTGTGTGTGTGATAAGACTGTAATTACAGCTGGGCTGAGCTCAGGGCTGGGCAGAAGGATGGGGAAGAGGAAACAGAGCTCTGTGAGGGAGGAAGCGTCTTGGTAAGGAGATAAGCTCTACCAGCACTGGGCTCATTGTCAGTGTGCGTGTGTGTGTGTGTGTGTGTTGCCAGCCCCAAACAGTTGCTCTGATGATAATCCCGGCAGCCCGAGGAATCCATACTCGCACTTATATCAGCTAAGCAATTACACTGGGCTGAATCCAAAGACACGCATAAAAGTGCGAGTGTGCGCGCACGTCCACATTTACAGATTTGCAGAAATACAGGCACATGTGAACACTACACAAAGAGATCAAGTGTGAACCAAAAAAAAGGGATAAGATGGGCTAATATACATGGGATGAAAATGAGGAAAGGAAACAAAAGCATAAGGGAAGATATGAGGAACAAAAAATGGTGTCACATTTAAGACAGGGATGAAGGTTTAAAGAGAAAGATTGAAGCTAGAAATGTAAAAGACACAAGAATACAGACGGAGAATGGAAGGGACTTTACATAGTAATCTATATTTAAATCTTTCAAACAGCTCCTTTAAATGCTTGCTGGCAGCGCCCTGATAAGTGGCTTTGTGGAGCAGAAATCTCCTGAGTGGTGTTATCATCAAATTGTTCTAATAGTGGCTGCTCGCTCTTAAAATGTCTGAGATTCAGCTCTTGCAACTCCATGCTTTCCTCAAGTGGGTTACCAACACTTTTAAGTCCATTTATGAGAGAATGTGAACGGCTACAGTGCCAACATCAGAGTGAACTTCATCCAGCATATATATATATTTACATGTGCAGAAGCTTGAGACAGAATCCACCTCTCTGGATGGTAAGCGGGCGGTCATCGTTGCACCCGATGCAGTATTCAATGTAAGCATTCTGTAGCGAGTGCGACGGTCTATATTTGTTCTCTCGGCTTTTGTAAACCACAGCAACAGAATAAGTAGTCCGTGTAACACATAGACGTGCGTGTTATGCATTCAACACAAGAAATGACAAATGTCATTATCTGCAAACATGCATGATAATGAAGGACGGGTTGCATATTTGCATATCCGCAGAGCTCCACAACCGTTAACTACATGTTACCATGGTAGGTTCAGAGGGACAGGAGGGGAGGCCTTCTCTGGCATCCTCTGCAATAACATCCTGACATGGACACAGAATGGAGACAAGGATTGTGTACAGAGAACAGCTAGAGGAGGTCGAGTTCATTGCCACTTCATTTATAGAAGAGGCTTTCACTGCTTTACTGCAGGTTCACAAACTGAACGGGGCTCGAAAGAGGCGTACGCCACCACCTGCTCAGAAGCTGTGATCTATAAAGACAAACTTGAGAGGGGGATTTATGAAAGGAAACCGCGCACTGACAGGTAAGCGTACATTTCCTCATTTGTACATACCCAAACACTTAGTATGGATCCTTTGAGCTGCTTTATAAATGAGACCCTTGGACAGTGTTTGGCCCAGTGGCAAGGAAAACAGGCTGATATTGAAATCATCCGGAGGTAAAATGTGAAGGTAAAACAAATGACATCACACTGAGGAAAGGGAGACGAGGAAAGAGGTACTTGAGAGGAGAGCAAGTGTAAAAGTGGAGAGGTCAGAAAGTCATGCTGTAGGTAGACAGAATGGGCCTGAGTGCATATTAAACAAAGTGTATTATAAAATAGCACAGCGACATTACTGGGTGACATAATAGCACGATACCCTTTCTTCAAACAGGAAACAGAGAGCCGGACCAATCACTTCAATCTCACAAATGATTTAGTTGCATAATACAAATACTACTACTAGTGTTTCTGCGGCTGTAATCATCTAGTGTGAGATGATGGCACACGTCAGATGGCTCTTATACTTCTTTACTTACTAGTCCATTGGTGCCGTCCTTATGTTGACCGGGTGGTTTAATGGTGGGGCGCGAGGATGAGGGGACATGGTGGGAGAAAGGCCTTGGCATGTGATACACATGATGGGGGAAATAAGGCTATGAGGGCAAAGGAAGGAATGAGGAGAGGAGGTCAAAATAAAATGAAAATCATATGAAGGAGGGTCAGGCACACACAAACTAAATTGCAGCAAGGAAAAGACACTAACTTGCTCACCTTTCCTCCGTAAATGAGGTGCAGGTTATTTAAAAACATGGTCATGTGGTACACTCAAAGACTGTTTACTTACAGGTTATTCAGGTGTAACTGCCAAGTGGGTAAATGCAATGCTACGTTATGATAACGTGCAGCGGACTCAGCATTTAAATTCAGTAAGGGCCTATTTAAGAACAGTGTGGTTTTGCGGATCACTGGGTATCATGTGGCCAGCCATTCCAATTTATTCACTTTGTTTATTTTTAGATTATCAAGAAGGTGATTTTATTCACTTGGGCTTTTCTACAATAACACAGACTCTAAGTAGTGGACTAGAGGACTGGTGATCTACACATAAGTCCCTCTCCCGTCTCACCCGGTTGTAAAAGGGGTGCTGAGGGCCAGTCATCCCACTGAAGTAGGCACTGTGAGGCTGAGAAGGCAGAGATCCGGCGAAGGAGCCCGCTGGGGAGCAGGCGGCAGAGGGCTGGCCATAGCCCGACTGGGGACGGGGCACTGCCTCTTGCAGGGGCTGCGTGGGATAGGTCACTCCTCCCATGTGCATCTGCTCCCTGGCCGCTCGCACATCTAAGAGGAGGACAGAGCCAAAGGAAAAAAAAGAACAAGGGGGGGATAGAAAAGGAAGTGTTTATCTGTGATGCTGATGATCATGTCTTGGCTAGGATTATAAAGACTCTTCAGATCCACCCACGCATCAATAATTTAGCTTCATCATCCCAAGAGAGTTTAGCCAGTTGTGAATCCACAGAGAAAGGAAATGTATCAAACAATTTACTCTTGAAGCACTTTAGGGAATACAAGCAGACCGATGTTCCTGAACATGTTCTAGAAGACAATCGAACAACTAAACGCTGGAGAGGAAACGAGCGCAGATGTTACGATTGCAACCATCTTCAACTGCGAATTCCATTCTCACTTTGATTGCCATTACTCCCGTTTCTTCACAAACCAGCATGCGCGCTGATATTCTAGTCTTTTCCAAAGGATATGCCGGCATCGTGACGACTTTGCTGCTTCCTCACAAATAAATTCACTCATGTAAACAAACCAAAGCACACCATTTTGAACCCATGGGCACTATCGCATCAGTACTTTTCCACAATTGTTTTCCCATAAATCAATTTGACTCCGAAATGAGTGGAGTAGGCAACGAGGAGGGAGCTTTGGTAAGAAAAAAACCCCTCCCAAATTAAAGTTAAATAAGCCTGGAGACAGAACAGAGTGTCTCTGTGTGGCTGGCATGAAAGTAAGAACCAGAAACAGAAGCAGGCACCAGAATGTCTCCTGGTTATACAAGTGGCTGCTGAATGACACGCTGAGTGAGACCCAATCCAGCCTGCGAACACAATGGGGGCCTTATGATGCGAGTCAGGCTCATGGGCGGGTATCACTGACAGCACTGCCCACTGGCTGGCCACAGGACACCGGGCACGGAGGGAGCGGGACAACTGAGCAGGAGCACCGGTTACCTTCCAGCTCCATGGGGACACGTGTAGAGGTGAAAACACACACACACACACACAAATAAACACATGTTTCTGTGGATACATATAAACACCCACACACTTTTAGGACTGGTGCTGGACTCACAGACTGGATGTCTGGTCAGCTGTGCTCTCCATGACTCAACTTTTTAGCTCAATGGAACAGACTTTGTGTGTGTGAGTGTCGTCTGTGGTCTCATAACACTACGATGCAGCAGGTTCACACTCGGCGTCATTGACACTCCTGTACAGGCTGAATGGACGCTGACGCACAGTGGCGAAAGTACAGTGGCGCTCTGGCTTACAGTTTCATACCGATGCACTGTGTTACGTCACTATTACTGCAAAACTGTGAAATTCGGTGCAGCAGTGGAGCCGAGGTGACAGCGAGTGAACATTTTGTCCTGATCCCACGGTGTCGGACCAAGTCAATTGTATTTATACAGCCCAATATCGCAAGTTACAAATTTGCCCCAGGGGGCTGTACAACCTGTGCAACACATGACACCCTCTGTCATCTTCAACCCTCGCTTCAGATAAGGAAAACTCCCCAAACAATAACAATGGACGAAACCTCAGGAAGAGCCACTGAAGAGGGATCCCTCCCCCAGGACGGACGGACAGACGTGCAGTGGAAATCTGCTCGACATTTGATTGTTTGGAAATGAGAAGTGAGCTGAGGGTTTCTGAGAGCCCCTGCAGTGGGTGATGTTAGAGCAGACCCCGCTGCAATGTTATGAGTAATGTCACTGCCAAATGAGCTGGCACTGAACTCAACACATCACAGAGAGGACAGTTCTGTTTCTCCAAGCTATTGTACACTCAACCCTTTTATGTACTTAAGACAAAGCCGTACGATAAACCTCTTTTTCTCTCTCTCTCTCTCACTCACACACACACACACACTTCATCATGACGACAATCTGACTTGAAGATACTTTGAGAAAATTATCTGTCCTTTCCTTATGTTGAGCTACCAGTTCATCTTTATCTGTATTTACCTCATGTTTAGATGAAGCCTTCTTTTTATCCTGTAGCTTTATGTATTTAACTATTCTTAACAAGATTGTGTCATTTGTCTCGATTGTTTTGCGTCATCTGATCGGCCTTTACCGATCAAACTATTTAGAATGAATATCGGCTGATAACGATCTGCGGACGATCGATCTTGGTGCTTCAAAGCTTCAGGAAAAACGATAAGAGTTGGAATCTGTATTGAGGTTGGAATTTTTCCAAACTGCTCTTTCCAAGGTCAAGCATAAACCTTGCTAATGATTGCTGTGTTCCTCGCAGTCACCATAACTCATTTTGAGAGCGCCTTGGCAGCCTAAAAGGTCACTGCGCATGCTTCTTAACCATAATGTCTCTGGTTCAATTCCTTATATCCCCCCCCCCCCCTACCTGTACAAATACTGAGTGTGTATAAACCTGCTATGATCTCCCTGAGTTTGGGGTCCAGGTTGACGGTGCAGGGCAGGAACATCTCAACATCTCTAGCAGCGAGAACGGGCGTCCTGGAGGACAGGAAGACCTCGAAGCTGCGGACGTCTCCATCAATCTCCAGCAGCGGCTCCACGTCCTTCGTGGTCGGGATGTTCTTGGAGATCCTTCAGAGGAAAAAAGAAAAAGAGAAAGATTCTAATTTAGCAGGTGATTATGTGATGGTGCTTTGCTCTCGCCAGCAAACATAATATTTATTTATAAATACTTGAAGAACATGACTATTTGGTTGTTGGAATTTCAGTATTTTTTGGCGATAATGAACAAGTTACTATATGACTAAATACTGCAAGTCTTTAGACCAAATGCTAATCAAATATAAAATATACTACAATAACATGGGAGGGATTATTGGCATATGACACAAATATGTCAACGTGTCAGTTTACACTAACTTCTGACTGCTAGCTCAAAGGCTCGACATTGTGACGAAAAAAGAAAAGAGGAAATAGCAAGCCGTACTGTCAAGATGCAAGAGATATGCAACGGTCATCATCATCATCATGAGAGCGGAGAGATAACTGGATTTAGAGAAGACGAGATAGTGAAAGGGGGGGATGTTTGAGGACAGATAGAGAGAGGGATGTTATCTTTTCTCTGCAGAGGAGGAAACCTGAGAAGATGACAATCAGGGTAATTTAGTAAGCGGCAGACGGAAGCGCATCACGATGCGCTGCTACAGTTAACATGATGTTCGTTATCGCAGACCTCAAGTAAACACCATGTTTGGAGATTGTTTCCATTACTGTGTGATATAGTGTTTCCTGTCTATGCTGCAGAAAGCAACAACATTGTATCACATCAAGAATGTCAGACGTCGAAACTATTTATTTAAAAATAGTTACAAGACTGCACAAACTCTGGCGTCGCACAATATAATCTAAAGCTTGAACCAGTAGTTTAGAAGGGACAACGGCATCTCTGAAATGAGGAATACTGAACATGAATACTCAAGTGTTGAAATGGGGAATTCAATTTCAGCTGCACAAGGTTAAAAACAGATATCAGTTTAATCAAGGACAGTGTAACAACAAACCCAAACACCAACAACCCGGAGCAATCATTACATCTCGTTAATCCCATCATTCAGACATGAAAATATGGAAGTCGGAGTGGCCTGTGACACCAACCATTCATCAGCAGAATGTGCCGCTCTTATCAGATGAATAGGGAGACTCCAGCAGGGAGCGGACATCTTCCTCATCTCTGCCTCCATTTGTCATCGGAGCCCTTCATCATTTTCTCAGTGGATACTTTTCTTCACCTTTCCCTCCTTCCAGTTGAACCTCGACTCACGCTCCACCCCGATACATCACCCAGTCTGCACACTGGTGTGTGCTCTGCTGAGAACGCAGCCTGATGAGTTGGGTTTTTCCCTGGGCCTGATCTGTCTTTCGGGAGTGACCACAGGTGGACCCTTTCTGTGACTCGATTGGATGATTAGTACCATCGCTGCTGCACGCTAGCTAAGTCAGCGTGAGGTCAGCATCTGGGCACACTGTTAGCTAATAATCCAAACAATCAGATAAACTAATCCGGTTAATAAACTGGCAGTAAATGTTCACCGTCTGCCCAAATCCAGTGAGTCTCTCATACATAGTGATGGTCGGACAAAACCACACTGCACGCAAGTTATGATTTACATCATTTCAATGTGAGGCTTTTCGCTGATACTCATACCCAGACTGCTTACAGTGAGCGAAGAGGCCGAGGTCCAGTCCTCTGTTCAAGGACATTGTGACAGGACAGATGGCTGGTGACGGACACATCTGCTGTTGCAAGGGCTCGAACCTGTGACCTTGTGGTGACAGGATGTCTCGAACCAAAATGTATACGTTTGGGCAAAAAGAATACAGGGATGGAAAACCGGCAACATGTAAATGGACCCTCACAGAGTCAAATGTGTACTACAGAGTGTCATGAGGGCAATCTAAATTATTGGCACTAAATCTATATTTTCCTTCTCAGCAGATCAGCCCAGGTGGGTCACTCCAACCCCACTGTGCCAACCAAACTGTCCCAACCCCACTGCCAGTCCCGACCCACTTGGACTGAAAGGACAGAGAATAGACTGTGAGCAGGGACGACACAGAGGCACACAGCTGAGCTCCAGTGGACAAAGCCCTCTCAGTCTGTCTTTCATTAGAACCTTTACCAAGACCCAAAAGGTCAACGAAGCTCCATGTTGGCACACAGATGAACCCTCGCTCCCATGACCTCTGCTGGGGAGGATGAGTGGGATGCACAGATGTTACCTGCACACACGCACACGCACACGCACACACACACACGTAAAGCGTCTACCGCAAACACCTGGGCAGTGGAGATGGGGAAATTCAAAGGCCCAGATGAAGGGTGGAGTGTGTGTGTGTGTTTGAGCGCATGTGCAGACACATGTGTATAAGTGGGTGCTTGGTTCCTTTTCCCATGAACTGTATTAACCCGTATACAGACAGAGAAGCCCTTGCTTTTCCCCATTTCCAGCTGGCTTACTGCTGTTTATTTGTGGGTCTGCAGACACAGACCAACAGGAGCCTCTCTCTCTCTCTCTCTCTCTCTCTCTCTAGAGAGAACACCCTCCAGATATATTCTAAGGATTCTTTTTATAGGACCATGTAACATTACTAAATGATGAGTGTACACAGTTTAGTTGTACTGTGCCAAAACTTAGAATGGACAATAATAATGAATAGTAGTGATATCAGACTCTACTTCAGAACATAGACCAAGTCCTCCACAGAAATAAATGCACGTTGCCCAACAACAATGGCATCCAAGAAGCACATATTTTGCTGACCTGCGTGTTTTCTCTGGCCTGCTGTTGTACAACATGCAGGAGCACAAACAGCTGCTTCTTCCAAAGACAACCGGGGAGCTGGTGAGAGGAACAAATCAAGGACGTCCATCTCTGAGTTACATCCAAACAGATGGAAAGAAAAAAAGGGGACAGCCAGAGTGTGAGAGGTCCGCTCCTGACGTCGCCAGCTGACTGGACAGAAACGTCTGCAGGAGCGACACGTCAACGCTGATCCTGCAAGATCATTGGTGAGGATCAGAGGGCACAGAACATCAATGGACAGTTGATGATGAGAAGTACAGAAAAGAAAAAAGGAAGGACGAATCAGAATTACTGGAATACAGATGAACTAACTGATCAATTTGAGTGATTCAGGCAAACCCGCTGAACTGCGTAGTATTACAGAACAAAAAGTACCCACGACATGACAACAGCAGTTTATCAATTAGGTCTAACCATTTCAAATGACATCCTCTGCAGTTAACTAATGAGATGTTGGCCTTGGCAGAAACCAATTGACACAAATTACTTCAGACTTAGTCATTCTCAGAGTGAACAGACGACACAGGCAAAATGAACAAAGCCATTCTTATCAGCGATCAGTTGCCAAATGACAAGATGGATGCCCGGGTTGGAGCGCCAAGGAAACCGGCGTGCTACTTTCAAGCAGACCGAGGACGAGGGAGATAAAGGCCGCCGGGCAGCCCGGCAGCCGTTCCTGCACAATGGGCCCATTGACAGGACCCAGCTTATAGCTGCAGCGGTACAGGCGATTTGGCCCGACCGCTCTCTGTGCGGCGTGGCCACTGGGAGCTTTCTGAGCTTATCCAAAATGCTAATAGGTCCCAAAGCTGACTGGAGCGCAGCCTTTCTTCTCCTCTCAACCTCCCACACGCTGCAGCTGACGCGAACGAGCAGAATTCATCTCTCTATCCCTTCTATCCGCTATTCGGACGCTGGAAGTATGAATGTGCCACTTGACTTTGCTTTACAGCTGCCCACTGTGCTTATGGACGACATGCGCGCACACACACGCGCCACAAAGAGGTGGTCTCGCTGCCAAACATTTCCATAAAGGGGCCCAAAGACAGAGCGAGATGCCTGCAGAACAGACAAACGCCTGTGCACATTGTGTACGAGAAGCTCAAGAGTTTCAGTGTCAGACACTGTGACCAGTACAACAGTGTGTGGGTGAAGAAGTTAACCAGACCCGAGTCCGGCACATTCCACTCATGGTCAGAGTCGCTGGCACGGTGTCTGCCAAGCGTGTGGATGAACTCAGCGAGGCCCTCTCTGGGAAAACAGTGGACAGGCGGACAGAGCAGCGAGCTGGCGCGTGGACTCGCATCCTCAGCGCTGAGAGAGGTTATTGTTACTTGGAAGCTGCCAAAAGCCTCCGCCACCCTAAAGGCAGAGAGCAAAATATGTTTTCACTTTAGATGACGCCATGTTCTTTGTCTACTTAAAATCCAGGCGAATTTCCTTGATTTGAATCAAATGCTTCGAGTACTGTGGACACCCTCTGTCTCTGCTTACCCCTGTGCCTCTTAACTTTCTAGTCTCGGCCGTGCCAACTGAACAACTTGTGGCAGCGTCTGTTTTCCATATACATTCGTGGCAAAGTTTAGTCCAATAATTTAAACTCTCTTGTACAGAGCTGGACCTGTGCATCCCGAAGCAAACCGCAGAGACAAGCAGGCTAATGGGAAACACACCAGGCTGATAAAAAGCGAGCGGCCTCTCCTTTGAGACGGGATCAGGACTCAGTGGTTCCCTGAAATGTTGATTAAACTCATGTGTAGCGCCGAAACGGAGCCTACTTGTTCCAGACCCCAAAAACCTTAACTGAACCCTCCACTCAAGAGTAACTAAGGCCTCATTCTTGACAAATAGTAAAACACTAAACCTCAGCTTGGTGATTTATGCACCCCCCCCAAAAAAAGAGTTTGGAGCATCTTAGGGCCGTGGCAAAGTCCGTTCATTGTGACACTAATTGCACCGCTCGAGTTCATATCGGCGCATGTGGTTGTTTGATAGCTGCAATGGTCAGCTGATAGGCCGTATGATGGGGAGTTAAGTGGGGTGGACTGCAAAATTAAAGACAAATGTGCTCTGCTGATAGGATCCATCTGGAATAGGTCTGTTATGGAGCTAAAATCTATACAGCGAGTGATGAATGTGAGAAATACAGCTCGGGATTCTCAGGCTGAACCAGTAATCCTCTGATTAACTTCACAAAGGTGGACGTGTCCATCGGAAATAAGATGAGGGAGAGATAGGAGAACGTCAATGAGCGCATGTGCTGAGGAG